TAATAGAGGGTGTCCGCTTAATAGAGGGTGTCCGCTTAATAGAGGGTGTCCGCTTAATAGAGGGTGTCCGCTTAATAGAGGGTGTCCGCTTAATAAAGGGTGTCCGCTTAATAGACGTGTCCGTAGAGCAGGTGTTTGTTACGTCATAGCCGCCATCTTGGTTGACGATAACAAATCATTCCTCATTAGCTTCTCTTGTTAGATCAACCAACATGGCGGTTGTTTCATTGTTATTCATATCTCAAGGGATTTTGAGTCACATGGTTGCACACACTGTATAGACCTTTTTACTGATACGGCAGCCATCTTAAATTATTCGTAGAGCGGCGGGGCTACGTTTTCAAATAACTGAAAGTCACGTATCAAGAGCGTAGCCAGAATTTGCTGAGGGAGGGGGGGGGGAGGGTGGTTGGGGTAAGGGGCGTTAGCCATTGGCTCTTCCCCTTCGGCAAATTCTGGCTACGCCCTTGATACGTGATTTCAACTGACCTCTCAACAGACAGTTTTTACACCGTTTCACGTTTTTTTTCTTTTTCTTTTTACACAGCTCTAAATTTACCGCGGATGATATCGTACTTGTTGAAAAACCACGCAAGTTCCATAACCACCTTAATCTGCAGTTCATTGTATTGAACCCCAGTTTCCGGACCAAAAAGATTATTTCTCAACAGGTTATAACAAACATGATGAACAAGGACCAGACATTGGGTGGTTACCGGGTGGTGTTACCGCCTCGACCGGCAGCGCAAAAAGGGTCTGGAAGCATCGCAAAGATCGTGATTCCTATTATAGTGGTGTTGGTTGTTATTGGAGTAGTGTTAGTTGTGTTTTTTATTTACAGGTGGGTATTTAACTGAGAAATTTACTTGTGCGCGTGTGATAACGCTAAGATGGCATAATATCCCTGATATGAAACTGTTGGACACTAAAGCTGATTTCTTATTTCATGCTAAATACTTAATGACGATTATGAGAGTGGCGATGGTAATGATGACGATGGTCATGACGATGGTCATGACGATAGTGATGACGATGGTGAGACGATGGTGCTGACGATAATGATGACGATGGTAATGATGAAGATGGTATTGACGATAGTGTTGACGATGGTGATGACGATGGTGATGACGATGGTATTGACGATAGTGATGACGATGGTATTGACGATGGCGATGACGATGGCGATGACGATAGTGATAGCGATGGCGATGACGATAGGGATGACGATAATAACATGGTGACAATGATGTATGGGGTTGATGACGATTTTGATGATAGTGGTGCCAATGATGACATAATGAGGATGATGTTGACGGTAATTACAATGACGACGACAATGATGATCATGGTGACGTTGACAATAACGTGATGGTGGGGTTTATAATGATGACATGACGAGAATGCAGGTGCTGAAGATAATGATGATGATGTTAACAAATCATGATGTTGAGGATAGTGTTGACGGTAATTATGATGGTGATGATGATGGTGCCATCGGTGTCCTGGGCGAAATAGCTACCGATTGTCTTCCTATGTCCCTATTTAAACGCGTAAACAAAATAACAAAACTCATTTTTTTAGGAGAAAGATGATTCCTGGCGCAGGCAGTTCGACGTCTCAACGCTATCTTTATTTGTCACGTGACGACCGAACAGAAGATCAAGACGACCCGTTGCTCACGATGGAAGATGACGATTATAATCCAACAACTGTCAGAGCCTAAATCATTCCACCGACTTTACCATCAACCGGAGTTGAAATT